ATCTTAAACCATATTGATATTTGTAGCACCAAATTAATAATTAATGGATATTAAACCAAAATAAAGATTTATTACTTTAGCCACTTGTTAATATGATATAATCCAGACTTTTTACATAACTAATAAATAATATTCATGTTAGTCATACTGTTTATTTAAAAAAGAACTCTCAGTTGGCAATGGAGTTAGTTGAATTTGTGATGACAGTTTTCTTGCTGGTTAAAGGGATACTTCCTCTTTTTATCACATCTCTATTGGCAAGCAGAACACTGATTTTATCTTTAATTTATAGTGTTAAATTATTGGTATAGTGCTAAATTATTGGGCAAAACTTGAAAAGGCAAAGAAAATAAGTCACTCTTGTCTTTTTCTATAAGAAGCTTCACAAGTAAGCTAAAAGACAGCTGAGTTAAATCACAAGCAGAAGTAAACCAGAAAGTTGGATAGTGTTTATCACTTTAAAAGCTGTTTTTCATGATTTACAGAATTTTGGAATGGACCAATTAATGTGAATAAAAACCTTCATGAATTGTGTGAATCAGAGCATATTGGAGCTGAAGAAGATACTTCATGCTTTAAATTAGAAAAGGCAAAGTAAAAACTGAATCATTGATTTGTCAAAACATGAATTACTCGGCTTTAAAATAAACATGCCATGGATGTTAAAGCAATGCTGAAATCAAATAAAGATGTTCACAATGAAGGATTTATTATATAGGAATAATTTATGGTTTTTAAACATTCCATTTAACATTGAGGAGAATTATTAGTAGCAATCTTTATAGAAACATATATGAGAGGGGGAGGTTATTATAGCTGGAATACAACTTGAAGTTGAAACTAATTGTATGGATTTTCATTTCTACTCAATTCAAAATTCCAATCCAATTGTTGATTTTTATGAGCTATAGTGTAGATCTTTTCCTGAATTTATCTTAGTGGCATGGATTTTTATAATGGAATACAAAGAATATATATATTTCCAGATTTACCTTCTCTTCGCTAGCTGTTTAGAAGTAGAAGAAATTCTATAAAGCTTGTTTGGCAACCACATAAGTGAAGAGTTTTCCTTCTAAAATTGTTTTATTTATCGCTGGGTATTAGGATAGATAAGGTTGTTTGTTAATTTAAATACCACTGTGGAATTTATTGTTCTGAGTTCATCTAAACCAAAATTCTTTCCTTCCTTCCTTCCTTCCTTCCTTCCTTATTTGTATAGGCATCTGAGCTTCATTGAGCCACATATTACTGTGATTTGAAGGTTGTGAAAGATTCTGATGAAGTAACCTATCATCTAATTTCCTTTTTCAGTGTTGGTACTAAAATATTGATAGCAACCATGTCATTCAGACTATAGGTGATATTACTTCAATTGCAATATGCAGTCCGATTTCATTTTCCTGCCTTTGCCCTTGGTTATTATTCAAATACACTCATCACTATTTCTTCTAAGTTAATGTTTGTTCAAATTTGTTAAGTGTACACAATGCACACAATATAACTGCACTGCAATTATTTTGAAGTCAACTGCTATTTATTTTTCAAGTCAACTGCTATTTATTTTTCACAGAATTGGTTCAGCCTTCTATAACAGTTCCATTTAGATTAGATTAACAGAGTTGGAAGGGACCTTATAGGTCATCTTAGTACAACCTCCCACCCAAGCAGGAGACTCTGCACCATTTCTGACAAATGGCAGTTCAATCTCTTCTTGAAAGTCTCCAGGGATGAAGCTCCCACAACTTCTGAAGGCAAGCTGTTCCATTAGTTGATTGTTCTCACTGTCAGAAAATTTCTCCTTATTTCCAGGTTAAATCACTCCTTGTTCAGTTTCCATCCATTATTCCTTGTCTGGCCTACTGGTGCTTTAGAAAATAGCTTGACCACTTCCTCTCTTTGGTAGCCCCTCAAATATTGGAACACTACTATCATGTCTCTCCTGGTCCTTCTCTTCACTAGACTAGCCATGCCCAGTTCCTGCAACCGTTCATTGTATGTTTTAGTCTCCAGTACCCTAATCATCCTGGTTGCTCTTCTCTCCATTCTTTCTAGAGTCTCAACATCTTTTTTATAGTGTGGTGACCAAAACTGGATGCAGTACTCTAGGTGTAGTCTTACTAAAGCTTCATAGAGTGGTATTAGTACCTCACTTGATCTTGATTGTATCTCTCTGTTAATGCAATTTAGGATTGCATTGGCTTTTTTGGCTGCTGCTGCACACTGCTGGCTCATATTTAGCTGGCTGACCACTGAGATTCCAAGATCCCTCTCACAGTTACTGCTATTAAGCCTGGTTTCACCCAATCTATACGTATGCGTTTGGTTTTTCTTGCACAAGCATAGGACTTTTCTCTACATTGAATTTCAGTTCCTCATGTAGCCCTTTGGCAAAATTAATTGCCCACTCCTAGACTAAACGAATTCAATTGTTAGATGGCACACTGAATGGGCAACCTTGTCAGACTAGAGGTGAAGAGAAGTCCTGAATCCAAACCACAAAGATTTCAGAGATCAGGGAACAGACCTGTTTTACTGGAGCAGAGGGGAAGCAGAAAGTCTACATGAAGAATAAGCTTCATGAAAAGAGGAAAACTATGTGTCTTCATACTAACAGTGAGATAAGTGCTAAACCTTGGTTCAGAAATCAATAAGTACTAAGCAAAAGTGCTCCTAACACTTTAAAGGTTATACTTGGGAGTCCCAACATTAGTCAGGACCACCTACTGAGGAAACTGACATTTTTAATCAGATTCCTTTAAGATATTTTAGTCTGCTTTGTGGAGTCTTGTATTTTGTGTGTATCAATTATTTCAAGGGATTTGCCTCTTTTTTATCAGAAGTTTATTCAACCTTCTGCAAATACAATGCTTATATGTTTTTGCTTCATCTAATCTATCTGAACCGCAGATACTGTATTGCTCATCTGAATCTGGATCCAATGTCCTTATAGCATTCTATGAGAGGCTTGTGTATGATGTGCCATTTGTGATCTTATTGGTGCTTCATTATTTCTTCCACTCAGTTGTAAGGACTACCTCAAACCAGAAGATTTACTTTTATAGTTTTTAATAAAGTTAATTCTTAAATAATAATGGTGCTTGTTTCAACCTGTCAACAGGAGGCAGGGCTGTTGCACTCTGACCACACCAAGTTCCTAGGATTGGAAGTGAGTTTAGCTGCCCTTATTTATCATTATCAGCACTATCAATACTATCATGCCTAGTTTATTTGCAAGAAAACTTCATCTTTTATGCAAATCAATGTTAAAGGAAGAGCCAAGGCAAAGCTTTTCCTTCCTCCTGGAATGTGAGTGCTTGCACCAGAAAGTACTACATAGGCAATAAGCAAAAGCTATAACAAGCCCTGCATGAATGGGGTCCAGATCCTATTGAATACAGCAAAGTGTTAAATTAGATAATTTACCTTCTAACTCTACAGTTCTATGATTCTGCAATTTCTATGATTCTGCAATTTAACTGTCATCATACATCCATCGAATTAAACCCTAACACATAAATGTGTGATACTTCAAAAGGATAAGAATCAAATTCAGGTGAGTCATATTTTGGTTTAATAAAAGATTTAAAACTTTATGAGGTTTCTAACTATAATTATCTGATCCACAGGCAAAATTAAAAGTAGCTCATTATATCTATGCAAAACATCTGGAAAAAATATTAGTAATAGCACTGTTAATGTAATCAACATTAAAACAAATCCTTTTTGATCATTTATTTAATCAGAATTATTGTATATCTATTTTATTACAGGTAGACCTTGACTTAACACCACAATTGGGACCAAAATTTCTGTTGGTAAGCAAGGTGATTAAGTGAATTGCGCCCAATTTTATGATCTTTTTTGCCATGGTTGTTAAGCAAATCACTTCAGTTAATTGATTGTTTGGACATGAAGTGAATCTGACCTCCTCCACTGAATTTCCTTGTTTGGAAACTAGTAGGAAAGGTGATCACATGACCTCAGGATGTTGCAGTTGTTGTACATACATGCTGACGTGTTTAAATTTTTATTCTGTGACCATGGGAATGCTGCAATAGTTGTAAATGTGAAGATTGGTTACAGGTAGTCCTCGATTTACAACAGTTCATTTAGTGACTATTTGAAGTTACAACAGCAGTGAAAAAACTGACTTATGACCATTTTTCACTTATGACCGCATCCCCATCGTCACATGATTTACATTTGGATGCTGGTTCATGTTTATGTCGCTTGCATATCCCAGGCGTCATGTGATCATCCTTTGCAACCTTCTGACAAGCAAAGTCAATGGGGAATCCAGATTCACTTAAAAACTGTGTTATTAACTTAACAACTGCAGAGATTCACTTAACAAATGTGGCAAGGAAAGTCATAAAATGGGATAAAACTCACTTAACAAATTTCTCACTTAGCAACATAAATTTTGGGCTCAATTGTGGTTTTAAGTTGAGGACTACCTATACAAGTGACTGTTTTCAGTGTCATTATAACAGTCTCTAATTGAATGGTTATAAATTGCGGAGTACCTATATGAATTTCTGCTTACGTCATAACTGATTGATTGACTAAGTGTTTTTTTTCTCTTGTACAGGAATATGAGTTTATGTTTAAAAGAAAGTGACTTAAAATTTTAAATTACTCAGTTTGACAGGTATCTCTGCCTTCTTTCTTGAGGACAAATTCTTGACTTCTTTCTCTTCATTTCATATGTATATATTTTTCTTTTTCCAAGTTTCATTCAGTAATTCATGTTCAGTACTATTTAGTTCTCTCACATTTCAACTTGTAATCTTGTACTTCCTATGGTTGTCTCCATGTGGAACCACAAAAACTGAATTCCACTGCCCATCATGCCTTTGATCAGTCAAAATCTTTACATAATTTTAACACCAAAATAAAAACTGCCTGTTTCTAATCTAACTTAGAATTGCACTTAATTTTCTCATTCTTTTCTTTATTTTAATGTTAATTAAAAACTAAAATCTAAAATATTGACTTACCATGTTGTGTCTTCCTCCATTCCCCTTTTGGCACAGTGGGGTATTTCTCTAGGACTGTTTATACAGTTTGTGGGTCTGCTTGCATTCATTCCCCTTAAAAAAAATAGAAGTCTCTGTTGAACATTTATAGGGAAAATAACCTGACAAATTACAAAAATGCAAGCAGAAATGAAATGAGCACAAAATTTACTGTAGTTTACTGATAAAAAGCATCATTATAACCACAAGAAAACAAGAAAACTACTGGGTAAGTATATTCATACTTAGCACTTGCTTTGATATGTTCTTTATAAAACCTGTCAAATAACTTTTAGATGTTTCTTTATAAATGAAATATTATAGATTGCTATGTGGCCTGGAAAAAATTGATATTGATCATTTAAAATGATGTGTGTTATTGATTTGATTTATTTTATTTCTAAAGCCGCAAATCCCAACAAATGAATTTTGGCATCTTGTTGGATTAGCCTACAAGATCACATACAGGTAATCCTCAACTTACAACCATTTATTTAGTGACTATTGAAAGTTATAATGGCACTGAAAAAAAAGTGACTTATGACTGGTCCTCACACTTATGTCTGGGACAGCATCCCATGGTCATGTGATCAAAATTGGTAGCTGCCATATATTTCTGACAGCTGAAGTCCCAGGATCATGTAATTGCCATTGGCAACTTTCCCAGCCAGCCTTCAACATAGCAAAGTCAACAAAGGAAGCTAGATTCCCTTATCAATTGGTTGATTCATTTAATGACCATAGTGATTCTCTTAACGACTACGGCAAAAACGTAATAAAACTGGGCATGATTCATTTAACCATTACCTCACTCAGCAATGAATTTCCAGTCCCAATTATGGTCATAAGTCAAGAACTAAATAAATTTAGAGAAGATACAGATGCAAGTATTTCCAGAGTTGAATACTGTATTACTATTAATTTCCTGAGACACAGTAGTTTGAAATATGACTAAATGGTTTAATTTAATGTGGGATTATGTTTTATAAATACAACAAATCCTCTGCTTTACAACAAATATAAAACATTCATCTCAATATTTGATTCTCAATATTGAGAATAACAGATAACAGATAATCAGAGTTGGAAGGGACCTTGTAGGTCATCTAGAACAACCCCCCACCCAAGCGGGAGACCCTACATCATTTCTGACAGATGGTAGTCCAATCTCTTCTTGAAAGTCTCAAGTGATGGCACTCTCACAACTTCCGAGGGCAAGGTGTTCCATTGGTTGATTGTTCTCACTGTCAGAAAGTTTCTCCTTATTTCCAGGTTAAATATCTCCTTGTTCAGTTTCCATCCATTATTCCTTGTCTGCCCTACAGGAGCTTTAGAAAATAGCTTGACCCCTTCCTCTCTGTGGCAGCCCCTCAAATATTGGAAGACTGCTATCATGTCTCCTCTGGTCCTTCTCTTCACTAGACTAGCCAAGCCCAGTTCCTGTAACCGTTCTTCATATGCCTTAGTTTCCAGTACCCTAATCATCCTGGTTGCTCTTATCTGTACTTTTTCTAGAGTCTCAACATCTTTTTTATAATGTGGTAAACAAAACTGGATGCAATACTCTAGGTATGGTCTTACTAAGGCTTTATAAAGTGGTATTACTATCTTCCTTGATCTTGATTGTATCCCACTGTTAATACAATTTAGGATTGCATTAGCTTTTTTGGCAGCTGCTGCACACTGCTGGCTCATATTTAGCTGGTTGTCCACTAAGACTCCAAGATCCCTCTCACAGTTACTGCTATTGAGCCTAGTTTCATCCAGTCTTTTGGGGTTTTTTGCCTAAGTGTAGGACTTTACTTTTCTCTACATTGAATTTCATTTTGTTAGATACGGCCCAGTGTTCTAGTCTGTCAAGATCCATCTGGATCTTGAGCCTATCTTCTTGGGTGTTAGCTATTCCTGCCAACTTAGTATCATCTGCAAATTTGTAAGTTCCCCTTCTATTCCCTCATCTAGGTCGTTAATGAAGATATTGAAGAGTACTGGGTCTAAGACAGAACCTTGTGGCACCCCACTGCTTACTTCCGGCCATGTAGACTTAGACCCATTAACGACTACTCATTGAGTACACTTAGTCAGCCAGTTGCGAGTCCATCTAGTGGTGGTGCTATCTATTCCACTTTTTTCTAGCTTACTAAGAAGTAGGTTGTGGTCTACTTTGTCAAATGCCTTGCTGAAATCTAAATATATTATGTCCACAGTATTTCGCTGATCTCCTAATTTAGTTACTATGTTGAAGAATGAAATAAGATTTGTTTGGCATGATATGTTTTTAACAACCCCGTGATGACTGCTAGTTTATTACTTTACTTGTTTCTAGATGTTGGCAGGTCTGTTTTTTTATTATCTTTTCCAGTATCTTCCCGAGTATTGATGTTAGGCTGATTTGTCTATAGTTTCCTGGGTCTGTTTTTTTTCCGTTTTTGAAGATGGGATATCAGCTCTTTTCCAGTCCTCTAGTAGTTCCCCGATGCTCCAGGATTTTTGAAAGATATGGTGCAGTGGTTCTGAGATGACCTCTGCCAGCTCCTTTAAAAGTCTGGGATGTAATCCATCAGGCCCCAGTGATTTGTGTTCATCAAGATCAGACAGGTGTTCTTTTACTATTTTTTTACTTATTTTAACTTTTATTTCTGGTCTGTCTTTTACAGTTATGTTTTTGGTGGGTTGAGCTATAGTTTCTTTTTGCGTGAAGACCGGTGCAAAGAATGAGTTTTCTGCTTTCTCTCTGTTGCCTGCTACTTCCTTACCATCTTCTCTCTTTAGTGGACCAACTGTTTCCTAGATTTTCTTCTTGTTATTTATAAGTTAGAAGAAACTTTTTTATTATCTTTGACTTTTGTTGCAAGCCTTTGTTCATTCTGAGCCTATCTGCAGATATTCTGCCTTAATTGTATGTCCTTCTTTCCATTTTTTGTACTTGTCATTTTTTTAATTTCAATTTGCCAGAGAGATCTTTGTGCAGCCATGCTGGTTTCTTCTTGGATTTCCTTTTTTTCTTTCTCAGTGGAATTGTGCTGGTTTGGGCTTCTCTGATAGTACTTTTCAGAATTTCCCAAGATTCTTGAGTTGTTTTCCCCTTTAGGATTTTCATCCATGGAATCTTTCCCAAGTTCTCTCTGAGTTTATTAAAATCAGCTCTTTTAAAACCCGAGATTCTGGTGTCTTCTATTGCTAGTGGTTGTGTTATGATGAACATAGTCACTCTCACCCAAGGTTCTTGCAGTTTCAACTCCCTCTATCACTTCTTCTCTGTTTGTAAGAATTAAGTCCAGTATGGCTGTCCCTCTAGTTCCATCCGCTACCTTTTGGACAGCAAAGTTGTCAGCTAGGTTGGTTAGGAACTTATTTGATTTCTCACTTGGTGCAGAGTTCTATTTATTTATGTATAAAAAGTATATAGTCACCCAGCTTTATGCAACATAAACCTAGGCAACTTATGAATAATATGGTGGGTTGATTTCCACTTGCTGTTATTCAACAATACAATATTTCTTCAACTTCAGTATCCATCTCTGTATTAATTCTTTACTTATTCGTGAAATGTATAGGCTGCCACAATCATTCATGATTCCTATCTTACAAAATAAAGCACAAAGCATGAAAGCACAAAGATCACAAGTGGTGGTGGGGGAGAATCTGGAGAAACAATGCCAATTTTTAAAATACACTGATACATATATATACACACGGAAGTACATCATACATTCTAACCCAAAGACAGGGGAAACAACCAGGTCTTGAGGGATTGTTTAAATAAGGTCAAAATGGGGTCACATGAATCTAAGGGAAAATACAGATCCAGAGGGAAAGTACTGTTTTAGCAAGAACTGGACTTAAGTAATTCAGACTGCAATCTGTCTCTAAGGTATCAGAAGGCAGTTTTCCTACTTTCCTGACTGAATTAGCTGACCAGAAAGTAACTTTGCAAGCAATTTGCACTTGCAGGTACTTTTCTGGATGTAACTAATCTAATCAGTGAAGGAAGCAGCTACAGTGTACTGCTTAATCTGTAAAAGAGGTACATAAACAAATAGGCTTATGTTCCTGGCACTGTTAATAAAAACAATTCTGGTTCCTAGCAGTTTCACAAGCGTCTGTCTTTGTTGTTATGGCTACTTGAGCCAAACTGTTAGAATAAACATCAAAGAAAAAGATGCAAGGTAAATGTGAAAACAGGACCAGCCTATCTGATTACTTTTGGAATAGTTGCATATATAGATGGACTTTAATAGGATTTATTCCTAAATGCAAATGGAACTGGATAATAAAACAATATAAATTCAATTAGCTGCCATGAAAAACAAAACAGTATTCCCCATTTTTGAATGTTATTGTTTGCTTCATTTGCCAGCAGCCTTTCATGCAACTATAATTACGAAAGGAGAGACTGAAATAAACCTCTAAATTATGAATATTAACTTTGGGAAATTTCAGATCCAAAAGGCAAGTTTGGAGACGTATCTTTTACAATCATACCGGATTAAACCCACCCACCCACCCAAATATTGTGTGCATGTCTGTGTGTATATATATACAGTATATCAATTGTCATATATTGTGGGATTACACCAAACAATTCCAATAGGACAAAGGAGAAAAGTGGGTTTTGTTCCAGATAACTGACATGAAGTCTCTGCAGGCTTTTGACTTCTGCCATACCACTGGTCTTTCCATTTCTAACATCCAATGTATTATAAAATGCAACATGCACCTACATATCATCTTTACCATCTGCAAATCTAAGCTGCTTTCAGGCCAATGACTATATGCTTGTGGGCTGCAGGGTGTAGAGATTTTCTTTTCAGCTTTTTTTTTTAATGTATTGCTTTATCATAGTCTGATGTTCAAACTACCTGACAGCTGATCACAAATAATTGGTGAACCAATGAATGCTCACTTTTGTGGTTTCAAATAGTCAACTACTTACTGAATATACTGCTTTCGAAGGTTACCATGTATCATGAATTAAGAGCCCTTCCCTCTTCTAAAAAAAGAAGCAAGTAAATTTCTAGCATCCCCATATAGAATCCCGATTTCTGTTCACATGTGGTTGTAAATATCAGATT